AATCTGGTGCACAAGATACCTTAAAAGTATTCAAGAGCAAAGATGTCAGTTTGAGAACTAAGGTGTGCCTGACCCAAGCCATGATATTTCCAACTGCCTCATATGCATGTGAAAGTTGAGCAACGAACAAGGAAAACCTTAAAATAATTGATGCATTTGAGTTATGCTGTTGGAGAAGAATATTACAAGTATCATGAACTGTTGGAAGAACAAATAAATCTGTCTAGGAAGAAGTGCAGCCAGAATGCTCCTTAGAAGTCAGGATAACAAGACTTCATCTCTCATACTTTGGACATGTATCAGGAGGGACTAGTTCTTGGACTCTCAACAAGTGGGCTTGATACAGTGCCAGCAGCAATGAGCTCAAATGTAATGATTGTGAGGATGACTCAAGATTGGGCAGTGTTTTGTTTGTTTACATAGTGTCCATATGAGTCAGAACCAACTATATGGCACCTAACACAACCAACCAATGATCTCAAGCCAAAATTATTTTAAATGCAAAATGAATTTACATGAAATATAAATTTAATTTCATGAAAAATAAAAATTTTCTAAACTATTGAACATTAAAACCAAGCCCAACTCACTTCATCAAGTAGATTCAGACTCATAATCACCCTACATAGGGTCATAACAAAGGCTATATTAACTGCATCAAAACTGTTTTTAAAGAATAAAAAGGGCATTTGGTAGTACCCTTAGATATATTTTGTGGTTGCATAACATGTCACATGGAATTTCTTTTGACTTCTAGGAAAATTCTACCCTTATTTCCATAAGTGTAATCATTTTATATATCTTCACACTTACTGTGAATTTCCATTATGTGAAAAAAGTTCTTATGTTAAAGAGTTGAAAACACACTACAAAGATCATTTCATTAACTGAACTATATGAAGAGAAAAATCAGTATTTTATCAGATCATGTTTTCCTCATATAAAGATTTTTCAACTATTTCAACAATAATTTTAGATGAAGAACCACAGAAATGAAGGAAAATGCTATTTTGGGTCGCTGTTACCAAACATTTAATTATCTTTTTAAAAATCTGATGATAATAACGACATGAAAATGTGATTCATGCTTAATGTGATTGTATTATTTTATTTATAGCTTAATGCTATTGTTGATTGCTATTGTGTCCTTTTGCAATCTCAGTACAGTACAGAGGGCAAAGGCAAGTGACCTTCTTCAGAAGGAAGGGGATGATGTGTTTCAGGTGCTGCTGAACTCACAGCATGGTGCCAAGGACAAAATCAGAAAGTGCTAAAAGCAATTATACAGGACAATCCTCACTGAAATTTACAGCACATGTTGAAAAACTACAGCCTCACAGCCTAATTATCTCTGTAGGAGAACTTTCATCTCCAGCGACCAGAAATTTTAAATTCAAATTTTAGTGTATATAGGTCAACATAAACCCAGGAAAAAAAAAAAAAAAA